TCTAGCCTGGATAGCAGCTGTGAGACGAGCTGATATTCAGTTCTCTACCATCCCCAGATCTGTTGGTTTGCTCCAGTATTTTCATTCAGGTAAGTTCTAAATAAGTTCATATTATTCTTTATAGCCTGTTAGTTTTATTTTCAATGCGCTCTGAGATCATAGCACAAACTTAGAACAAACATGCAGAACTACCTTCTATTTATAGAGTTGCTAATTATTTGGCATTATTGCAGCAATACAGCCATACAGCTGCAGTGGGCGGCTTCAACCTTCCCTGTGATGCTCACAATGACCTGTGGCTGCAATGCTGCAATTCAGTCTTTAGGAGTGCAGTACCTGAAACACACACAGACAAAGTTCATTTAAAGACAAGAACTTTAATAAGCCAAGGTCGACATAAATGTGTTTTATTTACTTTCAAATCCATTTATCATAAATGTAACAAATAAAGTGTTTTTATGTATCCATCTATAGAACCCTGCATGTTATATTTTAAATCTGCATGTTTCTTTTTAGAAACCTATCAGCAAAAAATGAACCTAAAGTATGCAATGCAAGGATGTAATCACTTTCAAGATGGAGAAAACATAATGTTCGACTTTAAGTGACAATTATGGACACCTAATATGATAAGGAGATTCTGCAGGTCATTAATCAATGTATAAAACTAAAACAGAATGTATTTTTAGTGACACAGCACACAAACAAGGAAGCAAGATGTGTAATTAGGATTATTTATAATAAATATGAATTAATTAGGGCAATTTCTTTAACCATAAAGAATAACTAAATCCTTCAGGACAATGTCACATCAATGCACTGAACTCACTATGTTATCCCTCTAACAGAGCATCCACGTGTTCTCACTGTAATTTCCCCCTCATGAATGAATTTATGCTGCACTAATTTGAATGTTCGGGGGGAATCAAACGCATTTTACTCACAGTACTCAAGCTGACTTACCTTTGCTTGAATGACGGCGTACTCACAGCGTGGAGGCTTAAAAATAGCCAAATCTTGTACCCAATCCTTGGTGAATTGGATGTGCGCCTCCAGAGATTTATAATTGCGAAATTGGTGCGCTGTGTATGCTCTGACTCCACAGACAAGGTACGGGAGTAGATCATGCTAAGTCAATAGCGGTTTGGTCTTCAGGGTTTCTACTCCACGGCTATATTTCATACGGGTCCACATTTCAACAATCAAGTACCGT